AGGTATTTATATTAGCAATAAACGAAACAGTCTTCGCGCGCACGCGCGATTGTACATCGTACATCGTATTTTATCTGTTGACGTTTCAATTTCTGCGTCCTTTCTCGTGCATTATGCGCATACATTTGTTCGAGAATTTATTGGGTATAAAACTGAATAAACAACTACGCAGATTATTTCGTATCAGTCGATAATTCATTGTCTATTTATTGCAGGGATAAATTGATCCAGGTTAGTAGTGATCGCGAATGTACCGATAAATGCATTTGCGAAGCATCGCCTTGAATATTCTCTTTTATCAATAGTAGTAATAGTCAATAGGCTGTCAGACAATAGATTTCACATGTCGCAATATATCACTAATATATCATATTTTCTTCGGAACAAAACGTAATAATCTTCTTTCACTTTAAATCGCTTTCTAAGCAACGATAATAACGAATATCAATGTGGAACACATAGTACAGCAATCGTTATAGTTACAAATCAATATATCGTTAAATTATTAGCTTCGTGTATTTCACGACTTTATCACCAATAATTTTCTATAATGACTAGACGAAGATTCGAACAATTTTAATACGTACGTATATATGTTTTATTTTTGCAAATTGAGTCACATTATGGCCTCGAACTTTGCAAGTACAAATCCGTACATTTACTGGTGTGACAGCAAAGGTCCGAAAGCTGGAGGCAATGTTCACTGATGCGCAAGTACGAAGTTGCAGCTGCCGGTGAAGCAGCGTCGTCATCTGCGTGATTGGATTCAAGCCGATCGTATGCCGGATTTCGTCTTACGTTTGATGCCTGATGGTGGCCCTAATATTTTTCCTAACCCCACTAGTACTTTACCTGTTTATTAATTGTTTCAAAGTTCTGACGAGTTTTGGAATATTTCAATGTTGAAATAAAAATTATTCGAAAATTTTTATTATTATTAAATCGTTAATTTCAGAATATATACGAAAGGAAGATCATATATGTACGTGTGCGCCTGTCTATAGAGATATAATACGTAATTACAACATCCTTATTCACTTTTCCGAAGGTTAATCTATGTCAAAGGTTGCAATGAGAGGACGAAGAGAAGGGAGAAAGAAGGACAAAGGAGAAAGTTGAAGATAGCGGGTGCATCAGGAGGGTGGAGACAAAGAAAGGAAAAAAATAAGCCGAAATGAACTTGGAAATCGAATTGCCATACTTGATCGGCTTAATGTCCCCTGTGTACAGTGCATCGGACTGATCGTTGAGAGGTATTGCGGGAGAGAAAAAAAAGCGGTGAAGAGAGAAAGAGAGAGAACAGAGACCTTGCGACGCACCTGCTCTCAGGTGCAATGCCTCTTCCCCTCCTTTTCTCTTCTCTCACTCTTTCTTTCTCTACTACCTTCCTTATTCTGTGAATACATATGTATGTACATATATACAGACGTATATGTCGACTTTAATCCTCGACCAATTACTTCGAGTATCATCTACACTTGCATCTTTCATCTTGAATATTTTTACTTATGCAGGGTGAGTCACCTCACGTCCTACCCTGAAATATATCTCTTTTTGATCTTTTTTTTCTTATTTCGTTTTTTTTTCTTTTTACAAAAAATCAAGATTATTCTCTTTCGTCAACGCTTCGACTCTGTCGATTCGATTTTATATAAATCAATAAAACTTGTTATACATATTTTAACATGAATTTATTTGAAATTGAGTATTTATTATTGATTAATTTTCTTCGTTAATTTTTTCGAATTAATTTCTTATCGATCATAGAACATTGTTCTTTCTAATGCTTTCGATATCTTGAAAAACTAAAAGTAATGTTTTAGGGAAACACGTTAGATGACTCAGATCAAATACTCATCGCGTGAGATTCTTAGCTGGCAATTCGTAATGTATCCGATTACGAATAGACACTTGAAGGTATTATGATCTAATTTAGAGGTATTCATAGCCATGCCTGTAGGCAAGGTCGTCCACCTCGTTCTTTCCGGATTTCTTTTCGAGTCGTTCGAGTGTCCGATATTACACAAACGGACGTTATCCTGGTATCCGCGATATTCTTGTTCGGTGTATTAAAAGAAAGTCGTTACGTTCCTTCGAGGAAAGTTGTGGTGGGAGTAACGGAGAACACACGCGAGACAATGTAACGCGCTCTTAAATTAAAAGCGTGACGAGTAAAGAGAACCGATCGGTTAAAATACGTGTATAAAATTTAGAACGACTCTTCGTAAATGTATAATTGGCCGAGATTTACCAGCCGTGCAACTTTCTATGTTAATTTTTCTTTTGCGAATATGTAACGTTGTTTTTTTTGTATCTCTTTTTTTTTTTTTTCTTTTCACAAAATAAGATATCAATAAAATCGTACGAGTTTTGGTGTCGCCGATTTAAAAAATAAGAATAATAGAGAAAGAAAGACACCAATCGGTAAAATTCTCAAAATCATGCCGAGTTCACAAAGGCATGCCGATCCTTATGATCGAAAGTTCGAAGAAGTAATCTAACGGATTATATCGCGCTTTTAAGACTTTGACCGGTAAGAATTGGTGCTCTTGTAATTGGCTGAATTGGCCAATGAAAACATGCTCAGAACATTCCAGTAGCGGACGATTCACCTGTTGATTCGCGAGAAGGACTTCCTGTATCGCTTGATTCTCGGTATTTCATTCGGAAAGATCGTAATCTATAGTATACTGGAGATTATATGGTAATATATAATCTCCAGTATGTTTTGCGAAGATAATTAATTGGTTTTTATCATTATTCCTCATTTGCAAGGTTTTTGTCGATCGCTAATTGAGAGCGAGTTATCATCGATCATGAATGAAAAATAAAAAGAGAAAAAAGAAAAAAAGAAAAGAAAGAACAACAGTGACAACGAAAGAAATAAAAAAGGAGAGGTAATAAGATAATATTAAAAATCTTGAATTCGTTGTAAACGAAGTTTGAAGGTTTTTGTAATTATATATATTCTTCAGGGGCAATTAGAATGTTCCTCGTCGTCTGGCGATCTCTTCCTTCGATCGGCCGGTAGAGAACCGTGCTGGAATCGGCCGTGCGAGTCGAGTCGCTTGTTCGCTTCGCATCGTCGGTATCTATACCAATTACGAACGGCGGCTGGCCAAGACGAAATTAAAGCTTTTATTTCGGCGTGCGAAGGGAAAGAAGTAACGTCGGCGGAGTCGAACGAGCGAGCGAACGGAATTAGCCAAGTGAAACGGTGAACCTCCGACCCTTCTACAGCTTGAACAGGCTCTCTTATGGTACCTAACATGTGTATCACGAGCGTATATACCGTAGATGCGTAAGTATACGTATCTTATGTAGACAAGGGCCACACGCGTATGGATATTCTCCTCTCTATGTTCTGTCACGCTACGTTGTTGAAGCTTCGTGCCAAAAAATGAACGCCTTACCGTTCCCCAAAATTTTTAGTCCATACGTTTCTCTTCCTCTGCTCGAATCCGTCATCACGCAGCGCATATTTGTGGTTTTCACGCATTCGTGAGTGGATATGATTTACTTCTCCTTTTTTTTTTTTTTTTTTTGGTTTTGTTCATTTTTTTCTCTTTCCTCTTGATTGCAGACACTCAAATCTGTGTCACCTCGACAACACTTATTATTGTTTTCTAGTTTCTTTTTTCTCTTTTTTTTCACAAATATGAGTAAACCTTTTGTAATACATTGTAATAGTCACTTTTATTGTATTACGTGGCAAATGATTTGAAAACCGGACTAAAAGTTTACGTTTCTTTTGAAATCTAAATTATTTCCATCGAAACAGTAAAGTACTTGAGAATTCTGAAACTCGTTCGTAATCGCAAAGTAACATTTCGAGGGAGATTCGTAAATACGTAGATAGAACATAATGTTTCCCGTACTTAGGTTGGGTTAGCTAATTTACCGTTGTTGGGAACGCTTTCGATTCAGCTTAAGTAAAATTTAGTGCACAGACAGAGCAAGCTGTTTAGAAATTCAGATCTTTGAGATTACAATGAAGTATCACAGTGAACTAATTTTGTCCGTTAACATGCTTTCTTCATAAGCATTTTATTTCTAGCATTAATATACTTGTTAAATAACACAACTGATTAACGATATAACAAACTCTGTTTTAATACTAATTACATTTTAAAATAATCTCTGAATTTCTCCATGATCCTAAATACATGAAGGAATATGAATTAATCTAGGATGCGATTGAATGGATGAAGAAGAATTATTAAAAGGACACCGTTAAAAGAAACTTTATAGCTCTTGGCTAGGACTAAAGACATCGGCGTCGTCGGCTAAGTCGGCGTCAGCGACGGCGAGGCACCGAGCGTACTTCCTGCCGCTTGACCGGAAGTCGCGAGTCAGAGGCTCGGCTCTACGTAGGCGTTACGCTTCCTTACGCGTATCTACAGTCTCGTGGCAACGAAACAAGCAGTTTCGCCTCCACTTTGCTTACTATTTGCCGAAGAAAGCAACCCTTCGTTTTGGCCTACCTCGTGGTCCAAATAATACTTGTCAAATTTATATACTTCACTTTCGTTAACACATACAGATTTACTTTCTAATCAATTTCATATATGCAGTGCGTTTCAGAGCATGTGGGTATAACTTCGCTAATGGATTCAATACATTAAAATAAGAAAAAAAGTTCATATGAATATATTTCCGATATCAACTTATTTCTTAGATAAAATCGTTTATGTATTATATTAATTTTTACTTGCCTTTACAGAAATTGTCCGAAGTGATTACCTTCGGTGATCGAGGATCGATTATGGAGGACCAATTAATTGGTCGTTGAAATTAAATTCAATAGAATTTTATTTGTGGGGACACTTAAAGCAATTAGTTTATACAAAAGAATAATAAATAACGTTGAGATAATCCAGCAATGTATTATTTTATTGGGCCAATAAATTCCTACAATACCAGATAACTTTGAGCAAGTCAGAATCTTAATAAGAGGTCTAGAAATTAATATTCGAATTGAAGGTAGTCACTTCGAGTAATTTCTTATAATGGCAGGTAAATAATCGATGTAGTATAAAAACAACTGTTTGGAAACAATCGGACATAGGATTATGTTGGGCATATTTTAATATGAACGTCTTTTCTTATTTTAACATGCTGAATTCACCAGTACAGTTTATGTTCTGAGATATACTCTGTATAAATCCATGTAGCGCCTTTAATAAGTTTATTATCATAAAAAATACATATACAGAAAAATAGTCATTTTTACAAGTGTAAGAGACAATATTTTACGACTCCTAAGGACAACTGGCAATTACCTCTTTTATTTGAACTGGCAATTAAAAGAAAGAACTGGTCTATTCAAAATGGTATCATTTAAAGGAACAGCTTTCACAATGGGTCTACGCGGTGAAATGTAAGCGCCTACGAAAGCCATAAAAGTTACAAACCTGGACGATCCTCGTTTCATGTAGGTTGAACGCAGAACGAAGGGGAATACCTCGAAGAGACGGCTTCAAGCGTACATCCGGATGATATAAAGGAGAAGTCCGACTTTGCTCGGAGGAGCCATTAAATTTTATTTCTTTTATTTCACATTCGGTATGTTTTAATAGATGTTAATCTTTCCTTCAATTTCTATCTTCGAAACTTAATAGATTAATATTTATAAATATAAGTTCAGGAACAGTATCGTTGATACTGTTTCTGAATAGAATAATATTTTAACTGAAAATGAACAAAATTCAATGATATTTTTAAATTAATGAGAATAAATTAAAGGTAGAAAATTCATTTTTAAACGTTTATTCGGCCATGTTGGCAGAAGGAGAAATTTTGAGGAGAAAGAAGCGGTATCGTAAGGAAGAATAATTCTTCACTGGTAGGACTTAGTGGCTTGGAAAGAAATTATCTTCCGGTCCGTGCACTCGGCAGGAAACCTAATGTCAGTCTTCCTGTCGTGGGAATGTTCGCGGTCCGTATCAAGGTCTGGACGAATACGAATCGAATGAAAGCAACTCCTCCGCGAATGAACTTTTCATTTGATTCTCATTATCCCAGGATGAAAAACTAACCGTTCATCTATACAAGTTATCCTGACCTTACTTAAAATATATTTCCTATTATCCAAAAGAAAATAAATTTTCAAGCTCTCTTGCAATTTAGAAACCATTTAAAAAAGAGAAACGTGATCGAGAGGACAGCTTAGAATTTAGGAATCGAATAATCGGAAAAGAAATTCCGTCCACGTTTGTCCCGAAAGGAAAAATTCAATGCTCCTTTTTCCTGACGCTCGAACGAACAGCATTCGTTCGCATCTTTCAAGAAATTGGAAGGGGAGAAAGCATTGTCGTCGTGACAATCGGACGTGGCGCGCGTGCCACGATAGAAACGTGCCTCGAGTGGCTCCATCAATGTGAAGAGAAAAAAGAAAAGAAAGAAAAAGAAGAGAAGAGAAGAGAAGAAAAGAAAAGCATCCGAGGAGAAATCAAATCGCCGGAAAAGCTTAGAATCCCGTAGATAAAAGGAAATGACGGCTCGCACGTGCGATCACGAGATAAAGAGAGAAAGAGATATATAGAAAAGGCAAAGAAGACGAAGACGAAGAAGAAGAAGAAGAAGAAGAAGAAGAAGAAGTGGAAGTGGCGCGTGGCATCGCCGAATAAATATCCGATGCCGCCAGATGTTGCGGTGAAGCCCACAGCTGCCGCGCCTCGCTGCCCTCCTTTGCTTTTCCTCGCGGTTTTTTTCATACTAGCAAGCAGGTAGACACCAACGCTTTCGTCCACTGGTGGTATTCGATGCTTTCCGACCTTATTTAGTCTTCGCATGATCGCTTTCCAAACTATCTGATCTATCCGGATCCAAGTATTCAGATTTTAACTCTTTTTCCTTATCTTCTTCATCTCATATGATGCACATTCTGATAGAAATGTAAGTTTACATTTTTTCTTTCCTTTTTGTTTTTTTTTCTTTTTTTTTACGAGTCTCATAAAAAGTAAGACTCTTCTCTATTAGAACATATTTATATAGATTTATACTATAAGCGTAAGTGTTCGTGCATCAGAGTTTGTAGAAGGATTCAAGACACGAGCGCTTTTATTGGACATCATATACCATGCATACTACGTATGTACGGATTCACGTATAGGTGTGTGTGTGTGATCATACATTTGGCAAACCGTACACGTGTATGGATTATTTCAATGGATTTTTTTTTTCAAGAGGAATCATCCCTTTCTCGACCGTACCATGCGTACATTATACTTAAATAAACACGTGTAGGTACGTATGAATTTATTTTAAATAAAGATTATGTATATACTATAAGATGAAGAAATAAATTCATGATTTTTTCTTTTGCGCTCTTTGCCGTAGAATATATCCATACCCCCCATCCCTTACCATTCCTCTAGGATTTAATAAAGAGAAAAATTTGAAAGGAGATCTAAAGAGACGCGAAGAGGATGATTTCCGTATCGGTTCGTAGAACGAGACACATGGGAGGAAAAGGAAGAAAGCGAGAAGGGGATTCTTCGTGCGAGAAGAATAAGATGGGAAGGAAGTGGCGGTGGGGGTCGAAAGCGAATATCCTTCCTGCCCGGGAGTTGTAAACAGGCAGCTGCTCGGATTTAAGCACGTGCTACCACCGTGCTACGATGGCTGCGTCATTGCGTGGATAGGTAGGTTGGTAGGCAGAAAGCTAGGTGATTCTCTACTATACCGCTTAGCGCGCGCGAGATACGTGTACTCGCACACGATTCGTGTATCCACGCGCACGATATACTCGGGCACGCATGCGTGTCACCCTCCGTTTCTGGAACGTAACCAAGTTCCCCCCTCGATTTACCATCTACGAACGGTTCCTTCAGCCGTTCCTTCTGCCGTTCCTTCGTTGGTATCCTTCAAGTTTTTACGATAAAACGATTTTTATGATGGGATGGACAATAAAATGACATTTAATTATAGGTATGTTAATAGATGAGTAAATTTCATTATCGTAGATACGTGATCCGTCGAATTGTAAGTATCGATGATGGTTAATCATGGTTACAGAATCTGTGCATGTATACTGTGAAAAATGAATATAATCGTGGCGAATAATGAAATCGTTCTCTTTTTTTTTTTTGTATTTCTTTATTAATGGAAATTATCCTTATTGGGATTTTGGTCGTCTAACCAAAAGAAGTATGGTTTAACGAATGTGAAACTCGATTTGAAAGAAACCTGTACAGTCGAAGATCGGGACCCCTTCTACAACTTAATAAGATTCACCCCACGGAATGAAAATCTGTTCGTACATACACCCGTGCACAAATTGGATCACGATAAATTGTACGAATGCGATTTTACAAGTTATCCTTTCAACGAGGAATGTTTCTTAACCGAGCTCGAATGAAAAATCTCAGATGATTGATGGTTATTAATTTTCCGAAATTTGCAGGTGTATTCTCGTGAAATTCGCTATCGAGCTGGTACTTTAGCAGTTCGTGTATCTTACGAGATGCGCAGGACTAGAATATTACTGAGGATATTTATTGGTCAGCCCTCTCGTTGCCATACCTGATAATCATGCGACACCTGTTACGACATAACACTTACTTAATTGGAGGCCTACAAACAGCTGCCCACACGCCGAACCAATCACGGCGCTTTGCCTGAAATTCTTCGTTGGTCGTGACATCCCCTGATCGCGCACCTGTTCCGATCAAATATTCTCCCGTGAAAATCCTTGACCAAAATTTTTTTAACAGGGAAAGTCTACGAGGTTCCCAATGTACTCACAAATTCGACTTACACTGATTTCGGAAACATCGATGAAAATAAATCACGTTTATCAGGTGCTGCCTAAACTGCACCTGTCCGCACTAACCAGTCAGACTTCTCGATCGAGTATTCTTAAAATTGCGAAATCTCTATTAATTTGTGATGTCTACGATATGTATGAAATACTTTTTATTTCATCAATTTATTGTTAGCAGAAATTTAAGTTTCTGAAAGTCAATAGTAATACCGCGCACGTATTACAATAGAGAACATATTACAATATTATATAATAAATTGATCTATTTTAGATAGTATAAGTAAAGCATTGATTGAACTTAACAAAAGTCCATTGTTGTTAATCGCGTATTCATCGCGTGAACAATTGAAATACAATAGTAGCGATCGAATGTCGATCTTATGATTTCCACAATTAAGAAAGTGATCATTGATTTTGCATTATATTCTATCGGTTCTCGATTTACAATTGCATTGTACGTAAACGTTCATTCGAGTATTTACAATTTTTAGTGTTAAATTTGTCTCATTGAACGTCCCATTGAAGAACTTAATCGCTTGACGAATAAGATAGTATAGTTAGTTCGTATAATATTTATAATGAACGGATCGGTTAAACTAGGGCGTTACCGATATTCAAACCATTATTCGAAGCACAGATGGTTGTCCTCCATCAAAAGGAAAACTTTTCTAGGTCGAAGGAAAAGGAAAGGACACCATCCGGCTTAGCCGAGGCTCAGGACGGTGTCTGGCTTGTTCGCTGATGGTGGTAGGAGGGCATGGCACGTGCCATGAAGGAAAGACATGCAGCCTGACTGGCAGCGATACTTTTCTGTAGCTATAGCATCCGCGAGGACGATCTTGCATCTGTTGCTTTTTTCCCTTCTTAAGTTCCGAAAGCCGAAAACGGCGGTTCACTTAAGATACGTTTTATCTTTTTGTACCACCTGGTTCGTGAACCGATAACAAGATCGATGAATCTTTGTCATGTAGAAAAGAAAAATGAAAAAAAAAGGAAAAAAAAAGAAAGAAAAAAGAAGCTACAACGCCGAAGAATCTCGCGAAATTTGACACTTCAGAGTTACCAACATTTTTCAAATCCTTGACATTCGTAAAATGATATTTAAATATAACTAAAATCGTTACCATATGACGCGTAGAGAGAGAAAGAGAGAGAGAGAGAGAAATATAAGTAGAAAATGCAACGATGTCAATCGATGCGTCCATTCGAGAACGGTAGAGCAGCATCCACACGTTTCCATCGATGGGTACCATCTGTCGTTCTTTTTTTCGCTTCTTTCTTTGCGCAAACAATTAAGGTCGATCGAATTTTACGAGAAGAGCTCGGTTTCCAACTTATCAAGCACGCACGCGTCGCCTCATTATTCGTGCACTTTTAAACACGTCTTATCTCAAATTTCTCTCTCGGATGGAGAGACACACGTTGTTCTCGACGAACCTGCTCTTTCTTTCTCGCTCTCGTTTCTTTTACAAACGAGGATGAGCGAACGCGTGCCACGAATTATCATTCCGCATGTTCATGAGCGTTCGGTGGCTGACACAAGGTAACAACCTGAGTACCCTCTCTCATAATTCACTGACCATTAGTACCTTACATCATAATGGAATAATGTTTCTACTTAAGTCGTTCGTATACATGAGGTGAAGGTTAATTAATAAAATTATTTAAACAGATGATTGATCAAAACCGATGATTGATCATTCGATGTATCAGACATCTTGATGACATAAAATCTTTTAAGAACACTTTCTGAGATTTCAAATCCGAGAGCATTAATAACATCGTTTTAAAAGAAAATATACAATCGGAGTTGGATAAAAATTTTATAAAAAATTAAAATCATCCTTTAGACACCTAGTTTGATATATAATATTATTTATATATGTGTACTTTCAATTATCGTAATACCCGTTTAACGTGACAACACGTTAGATCGTAAAACCTAACACTTTAGCGTAAAAGTAGCTTGACGAAAGGAGGGATGTGGTGAGTAGAGTCTCGAGAAAAAGGGGGAGAAGCCAAAGTAAGCTTGTGGCATTTTCGATAGCAATTTCGTATCACTGCTCGACCGGCACGCGGTACGCGTACGCTTTGCTCGAGATAGGTGAAGGGAGGAGAAGGAGGAGGTGATGTTGGAGGGGAGGAAAAGAGGAAAGAAGAAGCGCGAAGGGGAAGACGAGAAGGGGCAGATGGCATCGTCTTCTTCGCAGCCAAGTGGCAGCGGGCACACGCCAACCGAGTCGAAACATCTGCCGCTACTTCCCAGGAGTACAAGAGAACCACCGACTCGAAGGCAGCAGGCCCCTCTAACAGGCAGTCCCTTGGACTTGGAGACCCGAACTTTCTTATTTCGTATCTTTTCCAACCACTGTTTCCTCTCCCACCAGTTCCATCCCACTCTTTGCGAGCTATTTCTTTTCCTTCTTCCTTTTTTCTACAAACTTTTGTCGGACGTGTACAGCACCTTTCCCTGCAGAACTTTTTCGGCTTTGCTATTTTCACTTATGGTTTTCACAGATCCCAAGTTATATTTAGTTATTTTCTGATCTACTTAGCACCATTTTTTAAAAAACTAACGATGGATCGATCGGATCTTGAAGACATCTTATCGACGGTGTCTCATATATCCAAATATATGTAAGTATACATGCGCATCAGTGAGTGGATCAT